TCATTTAGAGTATGCTTCGATTGTGTGGAACCCGCAATATAACAAATATATTGAAGCAGTAGAGAGTGTGCAAAATAAATTTATAAAGCGATTGAGGTATAGATTTGATGTAGTTGAAATTAAAAATTTAAATATTTTATCATTGAAGCAACGTAGAGAATACAGAGACCAAATTTTTCTTTATAAAATCATACATAATTTAATTGATTCCGATTATCTTCTAAGCAATATTAATTTCAAATGCCCAACTTTTTGCACCCGTTCTAAAGATACTTTTTGTGTCCCTATGTGTAGAACAAATTATGCCAAGAACTGTTTTGTAATTAGAGCTTGTAGATCGCATAATACATATTATAACCAAATTGACATATTTGATAGTAATATTAACAAATTTTCTCAAAGCATTAAGCATAAACTCTATCATCCTTGATATAATATGTATTTTGCAACCCTCTCTATACACAAAGATTATGTTTAGTTATTTTACGTATAGTTTGTATTTTTTTTTTCACTCCATGTTTACTTATAAGTGGAAACTTTATTGGCTGATGAGAAGAATAGTTTGTATTTACATATTTCTGTATTATAAAAGCTGTTTGTTTCCCAACTGATAATAAAATAAAAAAAAATAAATAAAATAAAAATTTTTGGCATATTGGGTTTTAGTAGGAGGTACATATAGCAAGGGTGTATGGCGCGTTCGCTGCTTTGGAACCTGAAAGGATATGTTTGATAGAAGTTCAGGGCAATCAGTCTTATTGTTTAATATTGTGTGCAGCAGTTTCATATCGCTTTGTGCTCGTCTACTTTCGAGTGTTTCTATATGATAATATTCATATGCATCACGATCTGTATCAAAATTTTTGTAATTTTTAAATTGTAAGTATTTTACAAATACATTTTGAATTTTTTCGATTCTCTGTATATCTGATTTATGATAAGGTGACCAAATACTACTGGCATATTCTAGTAGACTTCGTATGTATGCAAAATAAAGCATTTTGATACATTGTATATTTTTAAAACTAGAGGTTGCACGCTTAATAAACCCGAGTTGTTTATAAGCCTTGTTGATTATAATTTCATAATGTTCGCTAAATGTTAATTTTTGGTCTAATGTAATACCTAAATTATTGCTCCGTTAATACTGTAAGTGTGGTCAATAGGTTTAAGTTTTCGGGTGAACGTAATATGATGACATTTATTAATATTTATCGTTATTCTATTTGTCTCATAGTAGGTAGCTAGCCTATCTAAGTCTGCTTGTACTTTTTTGCAATCTTCAATAGTACGAACTCTGAGGAATATTTGTCATCAGCAAACATCAGGAAGCGAGAGTGCTTAAAGCAGTTACTTATGTCAAATAAGTATGCGTTATATAAAATAGGTCCCAAGATAGAGCCTTGAGGTACTCCCGATGATATATTTAAAAAGTTACTCCTAGCACTTCCCATTTTAACTGCCTGCATTCTATTTTTAACGTATGACGAAAACCATCTTAACAGATTTCCATGTATACCCAGAAGATCAAGTTTACGCAATAAAATTACATGATCAACTCGATCGAAAGCTTTTTCGAAATCAGTGTAGATTACGTCAACTTGATCTTTTTCATCCATGACTTTAAGGACGTAATCAGTGAAAACTCCTAAATTCGACACTGTAGAGCGTCTTTGCATAAATCCATGTTGTTCGATAGGAATGCATTTTTTAATATTAAAATTAATTTTATCACGTATTATTTTCTCTAATATTTTGCTCATGACATTTAATATAGAAATAGGTCGATAATTTGTTATTAAAGATTTTGATCCACTTTTATGAATTGGAACTACTAATGCTTCTTTCCATTTTGTAGGAAAGCAACCAAAAGTATTTATAGATGTAAATTAAAAATAATTGTAAGGGGTCTAGCCAAGCTTTTTGCACATTTTTTAAGAAATATAGGCGGTATGTTATCGCTTCCAGGGCCTTTACTCACGTTAAGCTTTGTTAATTGTTTCAAAACAGTACATTCAGTTATGATGAACCCAGAAATCGAATCATTTACGTTATTCGTTTGTAGATCTAAGTCTTTATATGATGAAGCAGGTTTCATAAATACACTGTCAAAATGCCTACTAAATCCATTGCAAGCTTCGGTCTCTTCGGTGTAAATATTATCCTCGTAGGTAAGAGTATTAGGATAGCTACTTTTGTTGTGTTTTAATGAGTTCAAATATGTAAAAACAAGTTTAGGTTCTTTTTTGATATATTCTTGCATTTGCAAACTATATTTGTCAAAACATTCTATTTGCTTAGATTTCTGTCTTGTTCGAAACAAAGCAAATTCATCGTAATCTCGAGGGTTATTATAGGTTTTCCAACGTTTATGGGTTCTTTTTTTATCCCTGATTATATGAATTAACGCTTTTGTATACCACACTGGAAATTTATAAGAGTTAATATTTTTATTAGGTATGTATTCAGATATTAAATTATATAATATAGTGTAAAAAGTATCCATGACGTCATCTATTGTCCGCGCTTGTAAGGCTAGGTTCCAATTAATATTAAGCAAATGATCATTAATTTTTTCATAATCACCTTTATAAAAGTTTGGTTTGCTAATGGGTTTGTGGCGAAAAGTACGTATATTTAGATTTGTTAAAATTCTTAAATCTGTAACAAATTTTAAAACGTCTTGTGGGGAAAAATTACTATTTAAAAACGTACGAGGAACTGATAACTCCTCTGAAAGTTCTAATGCATTTATATTATCACATTAGTTTTCGTGAGTTAAAATAGACTCGAGATAGTTACAATGTTCTAACAATAAATTTATTGAAGTTTTGTTATACAAGAAAGAAAAATGTTTACAGTTTATTATGCTCAATAATCTGGGGAAACCTTAACTCTCAGGAATTTATGGTCGTATCTATAATGTGAAATAATAAAAATAAACGCGTGTATAGGTACTTATGTACAAACGTAAGAAGTTATACTTCTTTGGCGTAACAGAATAAAAATAGCTAAAGATTTCATCAAGTATATCACAACTCTCTGTTTGTAAAAGGAATGCAGCTAACTTCATTATGACGATTTTTGGCTGTCGGTGTGCGCGCGCATCGTAAAAATGTTATTCTCATAATTTTTTCCAAACGTGCCTAAAGAAGTATAACTTTAAAAAAATAATAACCGACTTCAAAAAAACTAAAAAGCAAAACATTACTGATTGGTAGTTTTGATTTACTATAGATACCTAATCAGAGGCACAGACTTCGAAAATATTTGATTAGGTATCTATAGTAAATGAAAACTACCAATCAAAAAAAAAGATTCTGTTGGGTTTTAGTGGGTAGTACTGGCTATTCTAGCTATTAAGTCTTCTGTATGTATGCAGGTGTTATGCGTAAATCCATTTCCTAACCTCAAAAAAGGCATGCCTACGCTTCTGAGCTTTTTTATAATTTACATCAGTTTTTCTAAACGCTGCCCGATTTCGTTTCAGATATTTCAAGCATTCGTTTCATCGGATTTGTGTAGTAGCTCCATTATGAGATACGCAGGCAGGACGCACTGCTTATAGAACCTAGTCATTAGGGACTATGCAACCCATGACGACAAAGTCATTAAATATATTGATTTCTTACGAAATAGATAGGTCATAACAGTTAGGATACTAAATAAAAATGTACAGTTTTGTTAAAATATTTTATTTCTGAAACGTAGATAAAATTGATACAAGTAATTAAAACTCTTAAATATAACTTAAAGTTTTTACATAACCAAGAAACTGCGAAAAATTGTCTTATTTATAATGTAAGGATTGCGCGTTTTCCCACAACTTTCGTTATTGTACAGCGTGCTAACAATCTCGCATGCACCCTTTATTTAAATTATCTCATATAATAAATAAGAACAATTAAGTTTTCTTATACAAAACTTTCAAATACAAGAAATTGACGCCATAGTTACAACACAAAATTATAACTGTATAAAAATCGGTATTAATTTTTGAAGATTTCAATTTACATTAATCTAATTTAAATATATATAACAAAATAAGAACAAACACATTTCGTTTCTAATTATCCACCAAACAGTACAAATTTCTATTTATAACCTTTGGTAACAGAAATATTACATGTATAATACGTATGTACATTATATTATATTCAACCTCTCCTTAGGAGTAGGCACTTTAAAATATTACCATTTTATCAAGAGCAAGAAATTTTAAAATTCGCCTTTTAAAGATTTTTATTAAAATGTTTCAAAATCGTCTATAAAATATGTTATTATAAAATATATTTCGAAACAAGCAAATAATTTTTTTTAACGATTGACAATAACAACTTTTATATACCATTGGAGGTCGTTATAGAGTCTAATATTATGATCACTAACTGTCAATAGTTTAAACTCTAAAATTCATTTAATTAATGCTGAAATATTACGTGGTGTAATTTTCTTATGATTATTCACTATCAATAAATGTCTCATTTCGTTCCTGGAACTTTGTACGCTCACCACATTTATTCGCATCCCGTTGTTATATCTACTTAAATGAATTTATTTAATAAGGCAAGCGATTACATTAAAATAAGAGCGATGACCTACAATATGCAGGTTCATAAGAAAATCGTGCTCCTTACATTCGAAGTTTCGTCTAGTGGTCACAAAAATCTCACTCTCACACCATAAGAAGTTATATTGACTGGACGTGGGTGGGGCATATTTGCACTGTATTTCATAATTTGTCTCGTTTTACACACTTTCACAACTTTATCAATATAGTAATAGATACACTAGCAAATCGAAGTCCTTATCGAAAGAAGTAAATGTTTTGGATGGTACATGTGGTTGGGTGTAGTTGCTTGAAGGAATAATAATCTCTCTGAAGAATTAGCACATCAGACAATGTTTTTCCGGTGCTTATAATTTTTACAAATATTATATACAAGAGTGTCGTTACTACACTGGGTAAAAAGGCGCGCGAGCGCCGCCGGCCGACGCTACGTGAGCAGCTTGAAGAACATAATCCCTAACGAGATGTTTATAAACAGTACTAGGATCACTAACTGCTGTCGTGAGAACCAGTCCTGAAACAGAAAATCGTATGTTATATGTAGATAAATCCAAATACATATATTTATTAAACCAGTAAAATCGAATCTTAATTTATTCAAACTAAACTTTATTAGGTTACTACCTACTATTGGTATTAAAATGTCTTTAATAAAATAAGTTAACATGTATTTTCTTATATGATTTAGTTAATTCAAACTTAATATGTCACCTTCACTTGTGGACTAACTAAGTACAGGAGGGGGTTGGCTCTCAGCTTCTCGGACTCCTCGTGCATGCGGCGCACTTCCTCGCGGCGCGCCGAGCCCAGCGCCGACACCTCCTCGCGCGACATCCCCCCGCCGTCCGGTAACCGCGGCATCCCTGCAACGTCCGGTAGAGACTTCTTGCGTTGTAAAGTTTGTGGAGTGCTTAACATCTGTAAACAATGCGAGTTCGTAACATTAAAAAATAGGTCTTTATATCTTTATAAATGTATGATAAAAGATATCATGCACCTATTCAGTTAATATAAAAGTGTGTAAATATCTTTTAAGTACACAATTTATTAAGAGCAGTTGTCACTAGTTTTACATAATCCGATTGCATTGAATCGTAGCTATATTTTAGTATGAATAAGCGTGTCACTGTATTATTTTATGTATGCAGAATGGTTTCTTATACATAGGTACACATATTGTATATCCTATGTCGGACTCACTTACAAACGAAAGCTATTGAATGCCATTAAAAATATATAATGAATACAATATTTTATTATTAGTCATTAGAGGTAATTAAGTTGAAATCCAAATGCAAAAGAATAAGTAACGAATAAAAATTATAATATCTACACGTATACTACGTTCGTATACTTTGTATCATATTCTTTGTATCATATTTGTCGATATTCATTGTTTATTATTTATATGAAATACGTTTTTCTTTATATATAAATATAAACTAAACGATGTAAAATTGATAATTACTATCAAATATTTTACTTTTTACCTCTACAGGAGGCACATTAATCCAACTCTCAGAGGCGCGGCGAGCCAAAATAGCCGGCGAACACATAAGATCCTCATCTTCCTCCTCGTCTGCTTGATACCACATTTTGCAATAAAACTATAATATCGACTATAATATCACACAAGTGTTAAGTTTTTATAGCAAAATTTTGTGCTGATTATTATTTTTTTGAAAAAAAAAAAATATTCGTAACCTTGTTATTGATAACGGTTGCGTTAGTTTTAATTAAAAATTAGAATTGATAATTTCTATTTATATATTTAGCGAATGTATGATGCGCGGAAAGCGGCAGCGAATGACTGTCTCAAATTAGAAATAGAACGGGCTGACCGGCCGAGCTCCGCCGCCCACCGCCTACATAACGAAACGTAAACTAGCGCCCACCTATATGCATTTATACTGTGTAGCGTATATAATATATACATTTCACGTATCACTGATGCAGATGTACTAACAATGTTTGTATCATAAAACTCAAAATGAAATGGAACAACTTACTAAGAAATAGTAGTAATTAGGATTTTATTGATTGTAATTTGGATTAAGGCAGAAGGTACCTATGAAGTTTGTTATATAGTCTTTTTCTCACTAGTTTAGTCAATTGCTGTAGGTATATGTTTATATCAAGGAACGAGAGATGGTTTTTATTTGTGGATAATGTGGATAAAATATAGACTGTACACCTGTTGGTGAGTTGCTATTTCTTTCTAATTACCCATAAAGTTCTTAGCTAATCAGGCTACGAATATTCTAATTGCACTACATATAATAAAATCATAATTTATAAAACATATCAAACTTATATAATAGTAATATTTAATTTTAAAGTTACGTCTAGTTAAAATAAATAAAGCTAGCTTTTAGTATACATTGTTAAATAGATATACTTCTTATTTGTAATGATTTAATAAATATAAAATAAATATGTAAATATTGTTCTTTACTTACCTTTCGGCCTCCGCCACCACCTCCCGTCGGCGCTGGAGGCGGCGGTGTTGGATTTTGTGGTACGAACAAGCTTTCGGTTCTCTTTGGTTGATATGGTGATGGAGAAATTTCTTGTCCAAGATTTCTTTTCCGTAGAAGGGAATCTTCGAAAGGTTGGGTTTCCCTCGAAGCAGCACGTGAAATAGAACCACGGCCTGAAGCTAAATGACCATTGCCAGCGGGAGTAGCCGCTCGAGAAGGTGGACGCGAAGAAGTTATCGGTTGTGGCGCCACAGAACCAGCCCTGGATCCACCACTAGGAGGCGCAGCTTCTACTGATGGCTGTCTTGATCGCCTGCCGTAGCGATCCACGCTTGAATCTCTACTAGGAGGTCGTTTATAGTGGTCAAAGTAATCGATGGAAGGACGTTGTCCCTGTTGTCTTAAGTCCCGGTCTCCATTCATTATATCTTGATCAGTTGCTGCAGGTGGACGATAAGATTGCTGATCCATCGCTCCTTGCCGGTATAGCTGTTTATCTGGTGTTTGACGGTACCCTTGTTGGTTAGTCGAGGTTTGCCGATACATTTGCTGTTCTTGTCCTTGTCCTTGTCTATACATTTGTTGGTCGGCTGGTTGTCGGTATCCTTGGGGATCCACAGACTGTGAATAGTTTTGAGGGTCTACATTTTGAGCCTGTCTGTCTAACGCCCCTTCTGAATGGACGGTACCTGTACGCAATTCATTTCTTCTATAAGCTGCCATACTACTGTCGACGTATGTCTCAATTTGTGGTTCATTCATAGGTTGAGCTAAAATACTTTGCCGTCTAGTAAGTCCTGGGGGTGCATTCCAGTCCTGAGATGGTCTTTGATTTGTTGGTGGTCGTGTGGAAGACGAATATCGACGGTTTTGGTTTGCGTATTGTTGATTAGTGTGGTCAATGTTTTGTGTTTGTGTTTGATAGGGGGAAAGCGGTGGTTGGGCTTCCGGCATATATCCACTTGGTGGATTATTTGAGTATAGTTTTTGGCCTTGTATTTGATTTTGCACACTTCCAGGACCCGTCCATGTATCTTGATTAGTCTTATAAAACTGATCGTATTGAGGATTAACATTTCTATCATCAGAAGTGTAGTTAGGACTAGTAGGATATCGTTGGTCCATTGATTGGCCTGTATTGTGATATTGAGTTGATGGTCTTCTTGACGACATCGCATTTGGTATTTTTTTCATTTGAGGAATATGTGAATGCATCGGAGGGATATGATTTGGAATGCTCTTTCCGTCCATGATCTTTTCGGTTTCTTGTGAAGGGGGTGTAGGATTAACTTGTTGTTCATAAACTTTTTGTCTATACTTCTCTCTTAACCCTATTCGGTCAAAGCCGGGATGCTTAAAATCTGGTGCGAACTGCTTGGCAGTTGTTTGTGCTATATCACAGTCTTCTTTAGCTTGGTCTGCTGCTTCATCAGCTTGTTCGGCTTTACCTCGAGCTGTAGCGGTTCTGTTAAAAGTAAAAAGTTATCATTCTTTTCAGTAACAATAATATCCTCCTGACCGTTATCGGCCACGGTATGTAAGAAGTGAATCTAATATACACACATTTATACGAGCAATCGATTTGAATTTAATAAACATAATATCTAAAATTACCTTTATTCAGGATATTTGTATATTTCATTTTACTTAACTTTTTATAATGTAAGGTACTCTCGTATTACAAACCTAGAAATAGCAATATCGGCCTTTTGTAATGCTATTTTTGATGCACGCTGTGCTGCATTCACTGCAGAGTCAACGCGTTCCCGGAATTTAGCCGAGCGCATGAGAAACATATGTTTGCGCTTTTGGCTAGTGATGAGCACGTTGTTCTTATATTTGCCTTCTTCTTTCGTCCCGTCTCGGAAGGTAGTCACACCGTAGCCGTATTTCCTATTCGCGAACCACTCGCCCTCATATCGGAGTCCATCACTACGTTCACTTACACCGAATCCAGTACGTTTATCATTCTTCCACTCGCCCATATAAGTTTCAGTTACACTGGCATCTAGATGTTCATTCTGAAAAATAAAATAATATCATTTTTATTATGTAAAACTTATTTGTATTTCAAGATTATTGAAACATTACGAGTCATCAATACAGTATTTACACTAAAAGTCAGTAAGCCAGTGTTTTCAGTCTATAAGGAAGCTTCCTACATTTTTTAAGGCACATCAGAGAGAATAAGCTATTTACTTCCTTCTTATATAGTTCATACAAAATAAGGTCCACATTGATCTAAAACCATTTTATATTACTACTATTACGAAAACTGACTATTAATCTTTTATTTAATCTATGACATAAGCTACGTATATTTTATTAATTTGTGTTGACTTATGGAAAATTCATATTAGATAGGTTAGTATTTGCTCTACATTTTTGTTTCAACTGATTTGCTTATGCTAATAAATAATAATTTGTTTCATTTATTAAAACACAATTTCTTGTCATTTTTCACCTTACATATATTATAATCTGAAATTTTTGAGTTTTGTTATTTTTTTCGCTCATGCATATTGTATACTTCATAGGCAATGTTATACGTCTTGGAAAGTCTTTCCGACGCCATAGTATGTTATACAGGCAATAATATATATAAACTCACTTACTGAGTAATATTTATATTAATATTTAAGAGTTACCTCAACAATGAAACTGTTGTTCGAGTTTGTATGCAAGGAGACACGTGTCGTAGCAGAGTGCGTGCTCTCGACCGACGACACCCACGACGAGGCCGACCCGCCCGAGCCGCCGGACCGCACCGAGCCGGTACCGCGCTTGTCGAGCTCCCCCGTGCTACGTTGTTTGCGTATTCTCTGAAATCACATGAACATTTGTATGATATATTTTAATTAAAATATAGATCTTTAGGTAGTATATGTTTATTAAGAAAAACTCCCAAGATGTACGAAGAACTGAGTGCAAGATACACAAAACTTTTGAAATTTAATCTAGTAGCTTTAATCGAGTAATAACTAGCCATTCTACATATTGTACTATTTTATATTTGACTAGAAGTGCCCGCGGCTCCGCCCGCGTTGAGATGATCAAAACTACTCTCACATTGCAGTTTTTGTATTTTTTCTCAGAAATGAGACATTTTCCTGCGGTAAAAAATATCCTATATGTTGATCCGGATAGCCAGCTATCACCATACGAAATTTCATGATGCGGTAACAGACAGACAGACAAAAATTCTAAAAACTATAGATTCGGCCTCTGTATCGATAATCATGTTTATTTCAATAAGATTTTCCAAAAAATATTTAATGTACAGATTCGGCTTGGTTACAATTTTATTATATGTATAGAAAATAATGCTTAAGCTTTTAGAAATTAGATTCTTAGAATCATTTTTTTAAATACGTATGAACTATTCATTATGCCTTTCCGTAACAATATTTTTTCTAGGGATTTAAATGTGACACATATTTTCAGTTTTGTAATTTTATTTAAACTTTGTTACTTTAATATTAATTGGAATAACTAGTTATAATATTGTTGATCATTGAGAATCATCTATAACTTTTTTTAATATCGACACTTCAAACGAAATAAACTCTACAGTGATCCAAAAACATATTTTCTGACACTAAGAAAATATTATGTTTTTTACTAAGAATCTTAGTAATATAGAATTTCTGAAATCTGTACAAAACGCATTGTAATTAAATAAATATTTTTAAAATATTAAAAAAAATATATGTTATATTGCTGTATGTGTTTATACCATAGTGTACCTACTCATTTTACTTAGGCCGTTATTACATTTCACATACCTATCGCACAGTAACTTTTTGATCACCCAATGCCACGGGAATAACTTATCCATTTATATCATTATCTCTATTGCAAGAAATAATAATGTATTACTTGTGTTTAAAAATATATATTTTAATAGAAACAAATTCATAAATAATATTTTGGATGATTGGTTGAACTTATTGTAAATACGTGATCAGTATCAATTATTCATAATTGGTAGGTAGGTAGGTACATACATAAAAAAGTAATATTTATTGACTGATATAACGCTTAGCCTATGCTGATGATTTTGGAAATGTGTTCAACTGTAGATTTCTTTTCTTACTAGCAACTCACCCTCGCTTCGCTCGGGTTCGTCCCTAGCTTTTTTTTTATTCTTTAATATTTAAAACGTCCCTAACTTGCATCCCAATACAAAGTTTCATCGCTATTTTCACCCCTTTAAGAGAGGTTTCCGGGATAAAAATCCTACCCTATGTCCTTCCCAGGGTCTCAAACTATCTTCTTACCAAATTTCATCTAAATCGGTTCAGTAGATCCAGAGATTACAACCTCACAAACTTACAAACTTTACCTCTTTATAATATTAGTATAGAGTAGAAGTGAGTAAGTTTAAGAAAGAAATAGAATGAAATTGAAAAGGGTTTGTTAAATAATAAAAGCTTGCTTGAAATTTCGTCGTTTTAAAACTTAGATATAGCTACTTTGTGAGTGAAATGCTACTAAACATGTAGGCTGTCAGTGTCTAGTATCCGGAATCAAGTGGTTCCCTTTGGACACTGAGTTGTTTAAAGTTATTTAGGGACACGAGCAAGTAAGTTCTTGTAAAACAAATAAAAATTACTAGAGCACCTCGTACACAGTAGGCATATACATATATAAGACCGTAAATAGTAGGTGTAACTATATACATAAGACTGTAGTAATTTTACTTAGAATCATTTTAGCGTAACCAATAATATGATCTCAATAGTGTCTAAATTGATAGATGAAAAAAAACTACTCCATTGTTCACAGTTTGCTAGGTTTTAAATAAGTAAAATCGTACTTAAAAATATATTTGCTTTTACAGAATATCGAAATAGTAAAATACAATATGTATTTAGATCTTCATAACTCAAAAAAAAACGAATCACTTATAAGTTTATTCGTGTCTGTCCCCCTACATATATTCTCGTGTAATGATAGTTTGTTTAGAGACTGCAATAGAGTTTAAAATAAAGTATACAAAACTTCGTAATTCCCCTGAACTCCCAAATAACTTTAAACAAAAATTGTGCTCTTTAAGCCATATTTATTATTTATATAATTATCGATTTTTAATTAGACTGTGTTTTTATTTAATTTTGAATATTTCAAAAAAGTTTCATCGCCACGCCACGCCAGTTGTTAGCAGGATCCAATATTTTACATGAATTTGGAAAACAATTAATTAACCACTTTGGTTTTTGCTACCGTTTATACGAACGAACTCTCATATTTACTACAATATAAAATGTGTACAAGCCGTAGTGACGTAGCACTCCATTTCGGATTTGATTTGAGAGATACTAATGCATGTTTGGTGCAGATCTTAAAGGACGAATTTTCTCTCCATTTTAAAAACTTTGGGAATATTATGCTTAATAATGAATGTTATACTTCTTGTAATAAAACAGTTTTACATACTTCTAGTAAAAAATAATTTTATCTCTATGCTAAATAAACAATTCTTAACTCTACAAAAAAAGAAATTGTCTTTGTCCTAAAATTTATTTTATGATTTCTCTATTCATTATGATTTAAAATAAAGGAAAAATATCCATATTCCTTAAAAAGTTTGCATCTGTGGTAGTTATGATAATAGGTAAAGCCTTTTTCTTGAGTATCATATTTAAAAAAAGTATACAATAGTTCTGATGTTCTTAAACATACCGCGAATTCATTCAATCCAGAAGAACAAGAAGAACGTTTTCATCAAGACATCATGGACTTCGAACGTCGTTATCAGGGCCAATAAAATGAAAATATGATGGGATTTGGGGCTGAGTGAAAGAAAGTACTTATAAGTGAAAGAAAAAGTAATAGAGTTCAAAGGAAGGAAAAAGTATTAGGTTTTTAATCTTTTTTCTACTATTTTATAATTTTTTGTATTTTTTGTAATGTTATTTGATATTAAAAGTTGATAAAAATTTATAGATAAATATTATTTTTTCTATTTATTTATATATATATTTTATTTATAAATATTGATCAACCGTTCTAGATACAAATATATATATATATATATATATATATATATATATATATATATATATATATATATATATATTTCTAAACCTAATAAATCTATCGAAATTTCATACTCTCTTATCAAAGTCAAAATTCGTGTTGATTATGTTAGAGCGTTATTTGTGTCGGCAGGTACATCAAAAACTACAACAAATGTTTAGTCTATACTTGTTGTATTTGAGAATTTTTCTTTTCCTTTTCATCATTTTCAATAGCAAAGAGACACTATTTTATAGCGGAATGAGATTTAAATTGAATATTAAAAATGCATTATTTTTATTCATGGTTGAATGTCGCATTGCGGATCTATTCCTTAGAGCGCTGGTGAGATTTAATATGTTATTTCAATATGTACAGCAGCTGCCGCCTGCCACGATATAAATATTAAAGATTTTAATGGCCTATTCAACCATTTATAGATAAACTCGATTTTTTTTAACGTATTTTTGGGACAGTAATAAAAATTTTAATATTTTTATTATGCCTAGTGGTTCAGTTCCAGAATCCCCTTTATTATAATGTTATGAAATTAATTCCTAAATAATATAATATTTAATAAATTTAATATTGTATGTAATATTGTATGAAAAATAAATAAGAGGCAAATAAATATAGTGAGAGTTTAAAGTTTTCTAAATACCAATATTGTAATTGTCTTAATAGGTATTATTATTTGCGTTAATAATAAAAATACTAAGTTTTAAACTAACTTTTAAATGATTTATTTTATAAATTCTTATTGTTTAAAGTATTAAGAACCTCCTCCTTTTTTTGAAGTTGGTTAAAAAGTATAGAATTTTTTGTAGGTACCTAAACTTTCTAATAAAAATCCTTTTTTTGTTACCATACTTTTATAATTATATAAACTAAGCACGTTTTTCCTTTACCTTGTTTACCTTTCATATAGAGATTAATTATTATGCTACCAAAATATAACTAAAGCACACAAACATTTTGATGACATTTTTTCATGATTACTTTTTTAAGTTTCTTGTACACAACACCTACAAACTATTACACTTACGGCAAATAGTCCCTTTTTAGTTTTTTCGACGAGAGAGCCTCGTCGTCCGGAAGGTTCGTCGGAACTCTCCTTGAGGACGAACCCTCCCCGGGCGTCGTCAATGCGCGTCGTGCGTCGGTCGGAGGGGTCCGGCGTGCCCGTCGCTTCCGCCAGCGAGGACAGCGAGCCGCGGTGGTCGCGGCCGCCCCCGCGGTAGTGCGACGCCAGGCCGAAGGGCGCCGACGTCCGCACTCCGTACCCATGTCTGAGTCCTCGCATCCATTGTCCTTGGTACGTTCCTGAGAAATAACATATTGCCTTTACGATATCGATTTGGAACAATTCCCGTGAAAGTGATGACGCACTCTTGAATATGGTCGCCAGGTTGCGTCATTGTTATTAAGATTAGAATGTGAATATTTGGTTAGCTAACACTAATGACTTTTAAGACATTTGACTTTTTCTTATAGCATGAAATAAGGCGTCGTCATGATTGTGTGGCGAGGCGGCGCGCACGGCAGGCGTGCCTGCGCTATATATAACCGGCGAGGGCCGCGGATGGCGGCGCGTGTTGCAGGGCCGCCTCACTCAAACCAATCCCTAATCTTATAAAAATCATCCAAAATCAAACTCCCAACTATTAGTCATTGTTACTATTGTTATACACTATAATATTTCGCGGTCGCCTTCGAATGAAAAGAAGTGGAATGGAAATTTTTAAGGTTACAAATTCCACATAATCCAATAAGTATGTCCGGAAGACGGATATGAGCCATGGCTTGTCTTCTGTGAAATATTCTGTATGATATTTGTGATTTTATGAATGACAATTCTTAATACGATCATGACTCAACGTACAGGCGTCGAAAATCGTATGACGTTGTTTCATGGTAATGTACGGCGCGGGCTGTGTTACGCATTACTGAGTTTTGGTGTTGCTTCAAGGTGAAATAAAAAGTAATATATTAAATTATTATACTAATTGTTGTCATGTTTAAGATAAAAAATTACATTAAGAAACGATATTATGCTAATAATGTCAAGTTCAGTTTACTTACATAATATTTCATTATAATATGTAGGTAATAATAAATAATAACAACTGTTAGGCATATTGCGAATATAAATCATCATTTATGTTGTTAATAAAGTTCTGTGTATAGTACATATAAATATATGTCTTTTAAACATAAAATTGTATAGGTATTTTTTTTTAATTTTTGTATTTTTAATTCATGAATATTTAAATGCTATGTACACTTATAATTGACATACATATAAGGTATATTATTATTACATTTATTAAATTGAAAATGTTTCATACGTATGTTGTACGTGTGCTTTTTACAAATAAATAAATAAATAAATAAATAGGTATTAAAGGTACATAACCACCCGTGTGCTGTCACGCGTTTATTTCCCGAGCGCAAACATTGCGCAAAGTAGGGGGTTTCTTTTTAGTTCACGCAATCATAATGTAGGTCATTAGGTGATATTCATGTGCATAGCTATTATTAGGTTGGCGGTAGAGGTGAAGATGAAATTAAGTTATATTTCGAAATATGAAGTAAAAACTATTTAAATCTCTACAATTTAGAATTCTTTAATCAACATTATTTATTCTGTTATTTTTTAACTGAATTCAATTTTCAAGGAAATGAAAAGATTTTTTATACAATTACCGCATATGCTATAAATAGTAAAGTGAACTGCGGCAATGATTTTTATTAAGCGTTAATTGCTCTGATTAAAGCAATATTTGATACTAAGACTATGAAATGAAAACTTCACGGTCGTACAAACTGAAATATTTTTGTTGGTATTCTAAAAATTTGGCATTGAAACGTGTAATACTTACCGCCATCGGCGTATGTTTCTGAACCATATCCGTCTTGGAGGCCGTTGGCCCATGTGCCCTCGTATTTGGCGTTGCTTGTGCTGCTTTGGCGGACGCCGTAACGCCCCTTGTAGCCTTGCGTCCACTCTCCCCGGTACAACCACCGGTCACGCGTCTCCACGCCCAGGCCGTGCCGTTTACCGTTCTGCCATTGCCCCTCGAATGAGCTGCCACTGAAAACAAAATATAACTATGATATTTTCTTTTAAATTTTATTTACATTAATAAAAAATATCCCTAGGAAAGTATATTCGTTACCTAGCAAAACAACCCTATTTTTAGACGAAAGTTATTTAATATGATTTTTTTTACGTATTAGTAGATTACTTTCGTTGTCACTGTTTCTCACGTTTAAATAATATCTTTATCGGGCCATAATTAAAAAATAAAAACCGAACGAAACCTATAATTATAACTTATTGATTAAATCTATCTGTTTTATAACTACATATATAACAATTAGTGTCCTTGCATTGAGTCTTTCACAACGTCACACACATACAATTTTTAAAGATTCAACAAGATATTTGGCAGCTTACTATTTTTGCGTTTATTAACGTTTCAGTAACTACGCTACATACATCATGTATAGGTATATAAATATTGAATGGCTATAAAACATTATTTCGCTTGAGAACAACGTAGTGATACCTCTCTACATTTTTCGCTATTTTGCAAACACTTATATAATACTAGCAAACCCGCGGCTTCGGTCGTGCTAAAACTACAAAAAACTCTAAAATGGTAGGTTTCATACAAACTTTTATGCCCTATTCTACCCTCTTATGGAATTTCGAAAAATGCCAAAACATATATTTGTTTAATTTTATTGAAGAGCATTCATACCAAGTTTCAAGTAATTCTGATAATTAATATTTTTTTGTATTATAACGTGTTTTCCTGTGGGAATGAGATGATCGCCCGTGGTAAAAAGTAGCTTATGTCACTCTCCAGCCTTCCAACTATATCCACACAAAAAATCACGCCACTCCATTATTGCGTTTTCACGTGAAAGAAGGACAAATAAACAAACACACTTTCACATTTATAATATTAGCATGGATACTTAATTGATTGCCCTGGTCTTTAGACCAAGACTATCAATAATATAGTCTATATAAAAATATGATTCTTCATTTAAGTTTTAAAGTTGATGGCACAATTATTTGGTGATATCGTGATAAATAATGGTAGACCGTAAAGGTAGACCTAATCTCTAACAAACCTAAGGGAGCAATAGTGCATTTATTAATATACACATAAAAATAGTAACATGTATAAAAATACATAAAGGTTTATGGATGTTCGTACAATTACAATATTCATGTTGGATATTTTTAATTAATTTTTGTAAGACAAGTGCAGCGAGCTTAGTGCTATCCATTGCGCACATTGTGTGAGTATGCTTTATCACCCATCTGATGGGAGCGTATTTGTCGTACAAATGATCAAATCGTAGCAATTCAATTATTTAAGCTAACCTAGATTAGATTAATATTCTTTGTCAACTACGTACATATGTAGAGCTATCAAGAGAGAGAGAGAGATAGAGAGATAGAAGCTGTTATTTGACCATGAGAAATAGAATTTAAAACTTATTAGGTACATTATATACATAAAGCTCAAATCCGCAGTCTTACGCATTGCATGGCATTGATACTCCCTGTCACAATCCTTCTCCTTGTTGGAGGGACAGTTGAAAAGGGGCTATATAGGTATGAATGTATTCCATGCCTAAAATGTCTCACAACTCACAATTAATAATTTAAAAACTTCATATATACCGTGGGTACATAACTACTACATAAAAAGTCGGCGTTAATTTTTCAGTTTATTAATTCATGCATTTCAAGATCATTGTTATATTATGTTATCATATAGGGTATAAAATAAAATATAAATTTAAATAAGTAGGTATAATTTCAGCTTTTAAATTTATAAATATATGTACCTATATATGAATCTATTTATTTAGCTAGTAGAGTATTTATTTACTTTGTAGTAGTACAGTCGATTTGTAGTACATAGATACTATTGTGTTAATTTTGTGGACTTTAGATTATTGCGTAAAGTTGACAATAATGTTGGCATTAAAATTGTCCGTAGGTTGCGTGTCATTATTATTTATTACCTTAGGGCTTAGGTTATCGCGTGTCAAGGTCTACTGTAGTTAACACCTGTATATTACGTATGTTTGGCAAGTGCCAGCTTTTATTCTACAAGGTCGTAGTGATAATTGTTTCGACTGGTAGTGACTTTAAGCCTTTAAAAGATAAACAATGAAAGAGTTCTAGTTGGAACATTTATTATGATATTGTTATATTGTGTTAATCCATGTTATGATCTATCGCAAATCCAATTTTCACTTTCCATTTAAACGTCACAGCGTGAAGAAGTAACAAACGTCGTACTTTTTAGATTAGGGTAGTCTATAGATCAAAAGGTTTTAATCTACTCGTAGATCACAGCCTTTTGATGATTTCTGCACGTATGAAGTCAATAATAGAATTTCCCAAATAACTAATTTAATATACCTACCTATATATAGAGTCACAAGTATAGTATATTAAATTTTACGAGCATGTATCTACATTTTCAGGCAAAATTTATGAAAGCAACAAATGATCTTGTTCTTTTTATGAATATTTGGAATAGAGATATTATGAACAGAATAAGATATAAGTAGTATAGATTCTACATAACACAGATTACATATACACGTACATAATACATATATGGTTTTCCTTTTAAAAAAAACATATTTGTTAAAATTAATTTACTTATTTTAAAATACTTATTGCAATATGATGATTACATAATTTGAAGTTATTTCAAAAGAAAATGAAATAAATACATATTTGAATGGAAGAGTACCCGTGCCTAATTATTGAAAAAAATAAATCAGAGCTTTAAACTCTATTTCCTTCAATTTTTCATTTATTAGTGAGCACTGAGCAGAGTAAGTTCTCTCTACGTAGGAGGTAGGTAATTTATAGATAAATTCATTCATTAAGTATATTATATAATAATATTATTCCCTCACAAAAGCTTTTCTTGTCATATCACCAGCCTGGTAGTTTACACAGTGCGGAGGTCAAAACAGTACCAAAACTTTTTATTATCAAATTGTATCCAGGGCTCATGCTAAATTATTTCTATTAATTTAAAAAGAAATCATACTAGGCTCAAGAATATATTTTTTAATTCAGTTATAAGTGAAATTTTCCAGGCGGCATGATTTTACTGCTAAACATGATATTGTAAATATTTACGTTTGTTACCTTTCAATGAGAAATTTTTTGAAAATAATATTTATTTTTATGTAAACTCATAGTCCACGTCGTCTGCCAACTGTCTGATCATGCATCATTCGAAAATCTCACAACATGGGCAGATTTTTATCGAACATTTTGAATCTATTCTATACATATACCTAATAAAATTGTAACTGATCGCTGTCTGTACATGGAAGATATTTAAGAAAAACTATTACCTATTGGTGGTCTTTATTAACGCAATAGAACCCAAAACAATGAATTTTAGAATTTTTGTCAGTTTGCCTGTGCGTTTGTGCGCGCCAATCTCAGAAACGACTTTACCGATTTGGGCGCGGTTTTTACTAACGTATTCAAAAATTCAAAATTCATTTTAATCGATCGCGTAGCTTAAACTTATACACGCAATTATATCAAGAGTAGAGGTGAAAAGTGCATTAAAGATATACCTAATAGCAATAAATATATCTATTAGATTACTAGATGATTGTTAGAGAAGAAGGTGAAAGAGAAAGACGCGGAGAAAGTACAAAGAAACCACCGATTTAACAAAAAAGTTTAAACCTCACAAAGTTATGATGAAAAATTTATACAAAACCTTAACCTTTTTAGTTTTATGAAAGGATTTTCTTTTTTGTACAATAACTTCGTCCACATTCATTAAGCAACGTTGTATATTTACTGCAAGCTTTTTACTTTCTTCTTTTTGTTCACAAAATTTAGTTTTATTAACAAACTTTTTTTCGCAACAATTTGTTTTGGTAATAAATTCTATGAAATCAACGTGACAAATGGCACCTATGACAACTAGGTACCTTTAAAATGTAAAATGAACATAGATTTTTACTATATCACGTTTTATTTATTAAAGTACATAATGCGCGTAATAGAGCGTGTGACGTCATTCCAGCAAAAATAATAATTAAAATAATAATTAACAAAGACACGTCTGAAGCATGCTTTATACCTACATCTTAAGACAGTATTGTTAACTTATGACAATTAACAGTTAAAAACAGTTAATCGTAAATTGTCGTGTGTAAGAGAGAAACAAAACATATTCCAGAAAGAAATTGGTTTTTTTTAAATTACTAGAAAAGTGTCGAATTTCCGAATACTACAATGTACCTACTATGTTTATGTATATAAAAAAGGCCGGCAGTGTGTCGAGAGATCAGTTGAATTTCGGAGGTAAGAGATAACTAAGAATAAATACAAAAAAGTGAAAAATAAAAAAAAATGAATGAAGAGATGATTGAGAACCGCCATAAGTGGCTGATACGAACCCAAAATAATAACACATCTGTAGTGCAAAGACGTAGTTTAATTTCTGATATCCCAGAACTCACTTATAGTACAAACAATATATGTGCCCGATTTCACCAACGTCACCTAAGTTTAAGGGATCCCCTAAGCATGGTTAGGGGGCTGTTACGGGACAGTTTCTGTTTCACCGACAGTTGGGGGTCACCTAAATGTTAAAAGGCCCCCTAAATTTAGGTGCTCGAATATATCGGCTTAAAGACGATGGTATAACGAAATTTAATTTAGGGGCTAGTTTTGGAGAATTTTAAGCTAGGGACGTATGGGAATACGTAAGTGGTAGCTTATGGGTTGTTGGTGAAATCGGGCAATAATCTTTCAATAGAACTGCGGATGAGCATTTATGTATTTTATTGGTACTGCTACCTAAATACTGCTGAGTTTACAGTTTATATTCCTACGGTACATTGGTTGAGCGCTTGACCAAATCCCTGGTCAATTAAATCGCGGCGTGAGGAACCGCCAATCATCTAGTATTGTCTCGATATCGGCTTAAATCTGAAAATGAATTGTGGTCTATATTCACTTTCTTCGCAGGAAATAGAGTAAAATTATACACTATATAAATTAACAAC